ACTGAGCACATTTAATATGTCACCTGTTACTCGAATTTCCAGCCTTCCTGATTCATAAGAGAAAGCTGTTTAGCTGTGCTGCATTCTCTCTTTGTCCCCTAATTTAATAGTGAAAGCACTCTCCCTGATGGAGAGAATCTGCTCCATAATACAATAAGGATGGGAGGGATCGCTTGTGATTGGTTTCCCCTAAATGATGCAGAGTGATGGCCCCTGCTGTGTGTTACTGCAGCGCTGCACAGCTCGACCTGTCACAGTGTTTTACATCCTCAGACTTAAGTCTAATAATTCTCAGCATATGATGGAGGGAGTATCAGCTGCGGAGGAATTCAGCCGGGCTATTTTCACTCCGCACGGTGAGGCCGGTTGCTATGGTGTTGCCCATTGGCACTGTTGCTGTGCTGGCATCTCAGTGCGGGGTGTGGCGGGGTGCGTGACAAGCGGCGCCATAGATCCACTTCAGAGTGACTCATATCCTCAGAGCTCTGCTGCCCTACATCTGAGTATGCGTGCACACACCCACATAAACACACACACACACACACACACTCAACAGATACTCAACAATGCTGTGTGAGAGATAGAATAATGATGATAAAAGAGTGTTTTCAGTGTGTGGTTTGATGTGTTTCATGATGAAGAGGAGGGTTCATATGAATCAGCCTGCTTGTCTACATCGTTGACATTACGAAAAACTAATAATTGGCTGTTGAAAATTCTGCACTTTTACACGTCTGTGACGCTTTTCCCCTTGATGTCTGTGCCAACTGAGGCTCTGGGGATGCCTTTGCATATCATGTGATTAAATGAGGACATGTGACATGCAGACAGTGTGATTTCCCTGCTCACACCTTTTGTGAAGGTACTTGCTGTATAAAATTGTCGGCTTTCAAAGGACTTGTGTTGACAGGGAGTGTAGTGTTATTGGTAAGAACAGGAAGGTGTTGCCTGTGGAGCTGTGATTAAGTTAGATCGGAGGAGGAGGAGGAAAGTAGGTCATTGGGCCAGCAGGTCAGTGAAGCACGGATGACATCACAGTTATACAACCTCTGCTCTCCCACTTACACAACGCTCACTCTGCGCTGCAGCTACTGCTGCAACTGCTGCTGATACACCAGTGTCAACTTTTTCCTTCCTCCTCTCATTTGGCTCTCCTTTCACTCATTTCCTTTTTTTTAATTTTCTGGCATCCGGTGTTTAGCCTTTTTCTGTCCTAGTGTGTGTTCCAGTTAGTTGGGCAGAAAAGCTCTCTGCTTCTGTTTCTCCATAGGTACGAAGTGTAAAGATAAAGCTCTTTACTACAGCCCTCCACTCCCTTTATAATGTCACCGCAAAGTGCAGTTGGCCGCTTGTGTTGACAAACAGTAATCTTAGATAAGACTCCCAGTCTCTCTGAGTCACATGCAGGGAGCAGTAAAATAACACTGCATAGCTGAAAGTCAATGGACCATGATAAAACCTACTCCTCCTCTTAGTGTCATTTTTCCCCATGCGTGTCTTAACACGGAGGTGTAAATACTCACAGTGTGGACTTCCTGTCCTCGTTTTATGAACGCCACAGTAAGTTAAATTAAGCCTCAACATTAATTGTCTTTTTTAAAATAAAGATAGTATAAGCACTGACTGGGGTTTCCCTCACAGCTTGATCGTTGGTCAATTGTTAATAGATTTAAACATGTATTCGTATCAAATCCTCAAGCCTGTCCCTGGGTATTTTATCTATTATCTTATCTTTTAGTTTATTATCTTAATGTCAGCAAAAAAGCATCTTTTGAAAACATATTTTGTTGCTTCTAAAACTGAAGCAGTAGTCTTACGCTACCATACACCAGAAGACTTTGAAAAGACTTAAAAGACTTAAGTCTGACACCCTCTCACATCCAGAGACAGTGTGACTTTTTTTTTTTCTCTTTTAGTCACAGACTGTACTGTTTTGCAAGACTACAATTAGATTCCTTTTGAGATTATTTCCCATCCTGTTTTCGGTAGAAAATATTATGCCAAACTCCCTTTAAGGAAGATGACACATGTCCGCAAAAACGCACAACTGTAGAAACACAAGATAAAAGGAGTCATACGTACTTTATATTTTGGATTTTGTCACCTCAGCTCACTACCAGCCTCTGTTGGTTCACTGCACTATGTCAGTGGGAGGGGACCGTGGGAATGAGAGGCGAGCTGTTTCAAAAATAAAGATTGCTCACTAAAATAAATGCTGGTTGGTGGATCAGATGCACGCAGAATTAAACACCGACTCTTAGTCACTCTTCAGCTCCACCTACCCGGAGTCCCCTACATGTTCGCTGTCTACCTGGTTTGCTGCTTCCTGTTTGGTGCTGGAGAGAGCGCAGCTATTGGTTGGGGCTTAAGTTTTTGCATGAGACAAGACTAAAAACTGAAGATAATATTAAACATGTTCTGATTCAAGCCACCTTGGACTGACTTTTAGATCACAGGAGCATTCACCAGCTGAGGTAAAACTCATGATTTATTTTGACATTTGAAATTTGTCTTCAACATTGAAATCGCTTAAAAAGTTTTAGATGGAATTGGACTTACCTTGAACCTGAATGTGTGATCGTGCCAGTTATATCAGATGTGTTTTATGCTTAACTAAATGCTGCTCAGACCTCAATTAAGATTTTTTTTAAAGTTATTAGCTTATATGACTTAAGTATAGATCCTTAAAATAGGAAAAACTACTATAACATTGTAGCTGAAACATTTGTATGGTCATAATGGAAATGTTGTGTATCATGATACATGGAAGAGAAACACTGAAGGGATTTTCTCACCAACACAAATAGGCCATTATGGTGTAAAAACCTCCCACACAGGTTCTGACGGTAATTGGTTCATGAAATAAATGGGTCAAATATTTAGGCTAGAGACCCAGTGGGCCTGCTCATTTTAATCTGACAATCTATTGTAGGCCTACCTGCGTAAGGAGAATAGTAGTCAGACGATAGGAAGAATACGTCAGCTGTGATGTGCTGAATCTATGACTGAAGATGTTTTTTTAATGGCTAATATAAATCAAGATAGGTGCTTATATTTGCCACATCAGCTTTCAGGGTATCAGACATGAGGCAATGATTTACCTCTGAAAGCATTTTGTTCTCTTACAGTATATGTTGCAATGAAACCCACAGTGTCCGACATTGACTACTGACAGGTGAGGTGGGTGATGGTGATGGCCAGTGGGAAAGTTTTGCTGTATTGCCAGGGCTGGGTATCGTTAATCAAAACCTTTTAAGATATTGACTAGGGTTGCAAATTTGAAGCACTTTCCTTAATTGATTATTGTAACATTAACGATCAATTTATCGATTAATCATGACTTTAAAAACATATAAACTTTGCTTATACCAAACAATACCAAGCACGCAACAGCATACTTGCTTGTTACTCATGATTAACAGATCCTTGATTAATCATTATCATCCCTAGTATTGACCAAAATAATCCAATCCGAAGTTGTACTGAAACACCTCTAGTCAAACGATACCTGCATTCGACCTTTTTTTGTACTCTTTATATGGTTGTGCTTGCAGCCAATCACTACAAGCATTCTCAGATTTAATGCTATGTGATTGGTCCACTACTGCAGCAGCTACAGCCCATACATTCCATGGTATGGTGAAGTCCAGCGCAGTATATTTGACGGAGTTGACAAGTTGCCACCAAAACATTGAAAGTACGGTCATACTACACACCTGTGGCATCTGGTGGAATTTCACACAACTAAAGGCTTCCATTCACATGATGGGCGTTGAATGAAGTTGAACAAAAGTACTCGGTTAGTATCCGTATAACTTTAAAGGGCCAGACACATCAAACCGACTTGAGAGAACTAGCGGCGATGAAGGCCCTCTGCTGTGTTGCTTGACGTTGTCGTGCCTCATCCAAAAAGTTGCACATGAACACGCCAAGCCTACAGCCAGCGGCCAACCAGCACATATGTTCTGCGTCTGCATGAGAGGTAACAAAAGGGACACAGCATGACCATTTTGATGCTAGTTAGCACACAACACAATGTCAAAAGAACAAAACATATTTACCGTGTGCCAGTGCGCAATCACGAAACATCACAGAATGATTCTTTTGAAGAGCTCCTTACTCCGCTGTCGCTGATTCAACATGCTGAATTTGTCAAAAAATAAAAGCCAACGGGGGCCAACAGGGGCTGATGATGGCCAACAGTGCTGGACACTTCGCCATGACTAGGGCAACAGACGCTTACTGATGGTCCAACATTTACCGACAGCCAACCGTCACCTTGATGCATTAGGGCATTAGAGTACTGGTATTGGTACTGATATTATAATTTTTTAAACCATACCTAGTTCTGTTTACCACTCAACTTTACATTATAATGCAGTATATACCTATGTGTGCATGAGACCTTTAATATGATCCCAGATTATTTCCTGGATATAAATAATCTGCACTTGTTAAGGATAATGGTATGGACGTGTCATTAGGGAAACATCAGGGAATGGCTGGTTGGTCCTTCACACTTGCATCAAGCTGTCAATTGCTGCCAGCTGTTTTATGCTCTTAGTCCTGTATCATATCAAACTATTTTCAAGGCATATTATTATCTTATACTTTTCTTTTTTGGTGCTGTCAATTGTTCAAGATGGATAATTGGACAAAATGTTTTGGGGTGCAGCTCCAAAAACTTATCACATCACTTTGGGTTTAGCCCGGCTGTTAAAGCAAAGGTCCGTCACAGTGCATCTGGGGTTAGCCGGCCATCTGGAGTCGTATGAGAGCACACATGGACGTAAAAAATGTCCCATGCTGTCTCCCATACGAGACTGGCCAGACAGCTTTATATGTGTGGCAGGGGTGTAATTAATCAAATCTCATGCGTCAGTCTCTTCTCCTCAGCCAACGTCACACTGCTTCATTCTGTCTTTCATATCCTGATCTGACAGACACACTGGCTGTGTTGGTGTTTCAATAATTACATGTGTCCCTCTAACCTCCCGTAGACTCAGATGTTGCTGCCATGTGCCACACTCACACCCGAAGCAGACGAAAAACTCAGCTCATTGAAGACCTCTTGTCGACTTTCTGCCCTCTGATCGAGGAAACATTCAGTGACTCTCCTCCAAGACTCTCAGAGCTCCACCACTATCATCACCACAGTGTGTCCAACCAGACCCTGCCTTCATCCAGCAGCATCTTCCTCATCGTCTCACAGGACTGGCTGTACTGTCAGTAAGGTAAGATTTAGTTTTTACCATCTGACTTAAATCTGTCCTCTGTTTTCAATCACTGGGAGGCGATGAAGCTGCAAGTTATTTTGTGTGGTCTTTTCCCTCAAAGGTTCATTTACAAATGTCTACCTCACGATTAAAAGACCCCTCTCAAACACTGCGACCCTGAACAGGATACAAAATGACCTCGAGCATTGACCGGTGAGTCAAACTTTTTGTATACCTGCATTTGGTTTGTTCTTCTGATTCTTTTCCATTAATCATGTGGTTTATAAGATGTCAGAAACACCTTTTTTTCTCTCTGACCAACAACCCTAAATCCAAAATTCAACTGTAATGTTTTGTGTTATATGATGATTTATTGTTTGTCACAGTTCCCTCGATTGATTTTCAATCAATCGACTAATTGTTTTAACACTAGATAGAAAAAATGAACTTCAGGCCCTCATGTGCGGAGCAGGAACAGATGCATTTGAATTAAGCATTTCGACTCTACGATCACTATGACCACACATGAGTGCCTGAAGTTCATTTTTTCTCCCCATGTGCTGACCCTTTTCTTCAAGAGCACCTGAGTATCATGATATAAATGGTCTTTGGGCACACTGCTATCTTGTTCTTCAAGGAGATTTAAGTCACTTGGGGGATACAGTGTCTAAGTGCTGTGTGTTCAGTTTCAGTCGTCTGCTTTTACATCAGAACAAAAATGTAGGATTAGAAGGGGTCTTATCAAAATGTTCATAAAATATTATCAGTGAACAAAAGTTAGGATCTTAAACTGCTGTTGTGTTTGCTCTGCAGGGATGACAGCAGTATCTTTGATGGGTTAATGGAAGAAGATGAAAAGGACAAAGCAAAACGGTACGATTCAGTGTTGTTTAAAACATCCTCCATGATGTCACAATTGTAGGTTTTTTGGAGACTTGATTTTATATTTGTGTGATTATTAAAGCTACAGTTGGTAACATTTATAAAAGAATGACTTTTTTCATATGTGCTGAAACTGTCACTATATTCACACAGCATTAGATAAAACAAATAATCTCTTCCTCTTCCTTCTCTGTTCCCTTGTAACACTTCTAATGGCCTTGCTCCATGTGAATGAAAACAACCAATCAGAGCGGAGGATTCTCTAAAGCGGCTGTCAGCCATTCACTTCAATCACTGCTTGTGAACTGCAGGCAAATGTGTTGTTTTCAGGAACATATTTTGGTGAATTGTTTGGGTGTGAACTGGCCGCCATATTGGATAAAGTTAAAAAGAGCATCGTCAACCAGCGGGACCAGCTTTCTCATCTTACAGCAAAACATTATACGTTTCTGAAAACATTTAAGATGAGAAGTAGGCAAAGCAGTAACAGACTCTTGGTTTATATTTTATCAGTGCTGCCTAGTTTGGCAGTTTAACTGCTGTTGACAGAGGGATTGACATGATTGACAGCTGTGTTAGAGACTCCTCAGCGCTGATGGGCGTTGCTGTCATGCTACAGTCTGATTCTAGTGATTGCCGTTAAAGGCAGACTTTCTGTCTCACGTACGTCTTTCAGAATATAGTGACAGTTTCAGCAAATATTGCACAACGTTATTTTCATGAAAGCAACCAACTGTATCTTCAAAGCTTCACATACAAAGGTACTCCTGCCTAACCCTACAGTGTCAGAAATTAGCAAGGGCCATGGGCCATTTGGCCCGCAGTTTATCCAAGAATGCCCCCAAAAGCCATGTTCCGGGGGCCAAAATTGCCTCCAAGTTTTCAAAACAACTATATGTATTTATATTTTTAACAGTATTACAATCTGACATTAAAGTATAATTTTATTTTCATTAAATTAATTTACCGTCACGTCTACAACTCATTTTCCAGACATAATGACCGAGATTGCACTGATTACGTGAGAGTATTCTGACAGAGAAGGGGAGGGGGCTTTGCTGTACCATAAGTATAAATTAACCATTTCTTGAGTGATCTGTGTCCACACAATGACAAATTAAGGTAGAATGAATGTTAAATTTTAAATTAACTTACTTCCAGGATTGCATCTAAGGAATTTATAGTAATTTGGCCTTTTTAACAGTAAAAGTAACTGTAATGTGGTGAAACATTAGTACTGCTATCAGTAGATTAATGGTTAAATCATCACATTTAAACTGGTTGAATTATAGGAAATTTGAGTGATATTTTGCAACCATAACTTTATGTAACCCATTATTTATTTCATTTATAGTGGTTTCTACTGAAGAGTGAAGACACTGTCTTAGTTGGTTTTGCTTTTCATGTGCTTATTGTTAGAACATAATTACAATTTTTTGATGGCCCCCAAACATTTTGAAAATGCCCCCATTTTTTAGACCGTGGGGGCCAAAATTGCCCCCAAAATATTTTGTTAATTTCGTACCCTGTAACCCTACCATTGTAAAGCATCAGGTACGACTACATCACAGGGTTATTATGGTCAACAAAATCTAAGACTGAATCTAGCAGCGAGAAAATAAATCTAACTGTTTTTTGTTTGAGAAATTAAATTAAAAATGACAATAATTAGGAAATACTACAATAAACAATGCAGTAAGAACTAAAACAAAATTGCATTTTGTATAGAAATCTGCTTTGTTTTCATTTTGTCCCTCCATTTGCACTATGGGTTTCACACCACTTCGTCCTGTTGTGTGTGACGACTTGATGACACAGTTAACACACCAGTTCCAGACGCTGGCGATACAGCGGCCACCATAAAACCCCAAAGAAGAAGAAGTAGTTTGATATGCAACTGTAATGGAAACCTAGTAACCAAACCTTACGTTTTACTAACGTATGTAACCTCATGATATATTCTGATCAACATGAGCTCATATTTCTGTAAGCTGCAACAGTAATGACACAATTGTCCCTTTAATAACGAAATCCTGTCTATTGCAGATGCTAGAGTGAATTTCCCCTCGTCTTTTACTGGCCTCCACTCAAACCCTTAAATTAAATCATGGCATGTCTTATCTCACAGGGGGCCACAAACCCTTATGAGAAGTAGTCCTCTTTCAAAATGTCTTGATCAGCTATGTCATTATGATAAGACAAAGCCCGATTCACTCATCTGATGTAAGGGGATTTCCAGCAAAGGATAAATGGGATTAGGTGTTGACCAGTTTAAGAAACAAAGGCTTATTCATTAATCTGTAACTGTAGTAAAGACACTGATGATTTTTCTCCAGAGGGTACAGACGCTGTCGCTCTGTGTAGGACTTGATCCTCCTGTATGCAGAGAAAAGACAAGTTTGTTTGATATTCTTATTTTTATTCAGACTTTGTTCAGGTTTCCACAACGCAAAAAAGATTATCTGAAAATGACCATAGTTACAGAGAGAAAGCAGCAAAGTCAGACAGCTGCACGACATCAAGACCTCCTCAAACACAACAGACCTTACGTCAGTGCTGTCCACAGTAGAATACTGCGGTCAAGTGAGCCGTCTTTTTTGAAAACCCAGTCAAAGCAGCCAGCGCTTGGATTCTGATGTGCATCTATTGGTGCTGTTATGGTACAGATGCTTGGAGTGGCCACAAAGACTAAAACTAGTCAATTCCTCAAAATATAAATACTTACACACTCTTTAAACAAACTTAAACTAAACTGAAATCAAAAACCAACATGGAGGACTAAATATAAAGTTCTTGTAGATATGATTTATTCTCCTAGAATTAATGCAGTCGTAGTTTTTTTGAGCTCTTTCAATAATCCAGCATTGCTAATGTAGCTGTAACCTAAACCTACTGTATGTAATTGTGTCTGAACCCACAGTGTGTCCCGTAACAAGTCTGAGAAGAAACGCAGAGACCAGTTCAATGTCCTCATCAAGGAGCTGGGCACCATGTTGCCGGGCAACACCCGGAAGATGGACAAGTCCACTATTTTGCAAAAGAGCATCGACTTTCTGCATAAACACAAAGGTGAGAAACACTCCTGACAGCCAGAGATCAGTTTGAATCAGACAGCTGTGGGTTACACTCCGCAACTGAACATTTTGTTGCCGTGTTTTATGTTTCCTTCACCAGAAATCGCTGCTCAGTCAGAGTCAACCGAGATCAGACAAGACTGGAAGCCTCCTTTTCTTAGTAATGAAGAGTTCACTCAGCTGATGTTGGAGGTGAGCTAAGAGCTCTGCGTATGAGGGAGTGCAGTAGTCTTAATATGTCTTTGTTTTTTGACTATGAGAGAATTAAGAGCATTTTTTATCTGTGTCAGGCGTTAGATGGATTTTTTCTTGCAATTATGACTGATGGAAATATAATCTACGCCTCTGAGAGTGTGACATCCCTACTAGAACACTTACCTGTAAGTATATAATGTCAGTTAATAAAAATGTAGTCAATATTTCAAGTCTGTAACAAAGCCCACATGTCAACAGTGACATCTGTTTGATGCAGTGTTTCATGTTGAGTGTTTAAAGCAACACATGTTAAAGATATTTTCTGTGTTTCAGTCTGATCTTGTGGATCAGAACCTGTTGAACTTCCTGCCCATGGGGGAGCATTCAGATGTGTACAAGGCTCTGTCCTCTCATATCATGGAAGGAGAAACACTGACGCCTGAATATCTGAAAAGTAAGCAGAACTTTTGAGTTGCATCTTGGCATTAGGGCTGTCGTGGTGAACTAATTTCCCCTGTGGTGATTAAGGAGGGCTCAACAGTGCGATATTTGGTGTTATTGCTGTTTTTGCAAATTACCTCATTTATCTTGATTTTAGTGCTTTCTAAATGAGCTTTATCGTGGGGATATTATTAGGTATATTGATGCTTTTTGAATGACAAAGACGACAGATTTAAAACAAATTAAATACATCAGTGTTCAATGTTAAATCAATGTTAAATGCAGAACACAGAAGGGTTATGGCGCGCAAAAGGGCACATCATTTTTACAGCTGATATTCTTTGGTTACGTTTGGCTTGTATGATGTAGAATATCTGCGACAGTAAAAATGTCAGCACAAGGAAGAGTATCTACTTGCTCTGGATGAAGGGGAAGGCTGAAGCACGTAGGGAGAGAGAATGGACCCATCAGTATGTGTAGGCACAGCACACAGAATTATAAAAATACCAAGATAACAAACGCCAAGATGGCTCCTACTCATATCCATGGAGTTGCTTGTTTGGCACATCTGCCAAAAGAAGTTTCTAGCTCTCGGGTTTACTTTCACAGTATGTAGCCCACTGAATATACACAGTAGTGTTTCTCCTGCTGCCCCCGCGTGTGAGTTCCCACTGGGCTCATAGACATTACGTTGTGATGATGTCACAGATTTTGAAACCATTTTTCCTCAGCTCTCAAAAGCTTTCCAAATATAAAACCACCATGGATCAAAAGACTCATAATTTACCTGTTTGAGGTGTCCTATCATGAGTTTTACAGACATCTCCGTTATATCGGTGTCCTATGGGGAAAATGCTTTTTGGCCCGCAGGGGATTTTTTTTGCTGCAATACTGCAACTGGCCACTAGGGAAAATTGGCTGCAAGGCTAAGCAGCATTCCTGGGGTCCCGGTTTAGTATTATTTTTCTTCTCCGTTGTTGATGTTGTTCAGCGATGTGACGGTTGGTCTTTATCAGGGAAACACAATATTGGATTTTTTGCCAATGTCCGATATGCTGATATGTATCAACTCATTTGACCGATAAACAATATCGATAGATATACTTTTCCCATCATGAAGTCTCTTCTGTAGTGGAATTAACATTATATTATGCATAGATACTCTTATCGTGACGGCCCACCAGCACATGGAGACATGAAATGCAATTCTTCTTCATGTATGTAATATTCAGTCTTTGTGTAAATTAAGAAAAAGCTCGTTGGGCGACTCTGATAGTTCATTTTAAAGCCAATATCAGCCGATACTGATGACGTGCCAATATTATCGTGCATCCCTAGTATTTCTGGTATTTGTCCCGCCCCTTCTCTGCTGTGACGGCTGGGCGAAATGTGACAGTGATGATCAGCCACAGCGTTTTACTAAAAGTTAAATACTTTTCAACTCACTGCTACTGGAAAAAATGGCAAACGTGCAGCACTCAGTGTAGAATAGACACTCAGCACCTTGTCACGCTGTTGGCATTGGTAACGTAGTGAAATGTGTTGTACCCATGAAAATTGCTTTTTCTTTATTTCCCATGCAGATTACTGTCTAATTAACATTTTTATACCTGTTACATTAAAATTAAACAATAAAACAGACAGCTACACTATTTACTGAATCCTACTGAGTGCTTCAGAATACAGAACAGCTGATTCAAACAGCCATTACGTGACTGGGCATTATCAATCCATAAGTGCTTTCCTCCTGCGTATTTGTTTTCTGTCTCCATCACTAGCAGCCATGACTGTTTCTCATTGTTTGGGTAGACTTCACAAGGCAGCCTGGGGAGCACCAAGATTTGCTGCTGCATCTTATTGGGTTGCTTTTGGCAGTTTGTCATAAGCCTCGAGGAGACATGTTTTTCCCATCATCATTTTAATGTGCACGCAGCATCAGCCTCAGGGAGCCAGAGGGAAGGAGACAGGTTATCTCGAAGCAAAGTATCATTGTGGGAGTCGAGTAAAACAAAATAGAATATTCTGGTTTTATATTTTTTCCATATGTTGTCATGTATTAAAAGGTGCAAATGAACACAGTTAGCAGACTGCTTAATTACTATAAATACATTTTTACAACAAGTGCAAATTCTTTCTTCAGTTTCTTCTTTTTTAACACAGCTCTTTTTTCCACAGCAAAAAATCAGTTAGAGTTCTGTTGCCACATGCTCCGAGGGACGATCGACCCCAAAGAGCCCCCTGTGTACGAATATGTCAAGTTCATTGGAAACTTCAAGTCCCTGAATAATGGTGAGTTACACTGCATTAACTGTCTGAGCCTTGAGTTGAGTTTTCCTGGCTCCGAAGTCTAACTCCTCTGTTGTTTTACTCGTCACCAGTGCCTAACTGTACCCGAAACGGTTTTGAGGGAGTGATCCAGCGGTCGCTTCACTCCGCCTTTGAAGACAGAGTGTGTCTCATAGCAACCGTGAGGCTCGCCAAACCGCAGTTTATCAAGGTAAGAATCATTCGCTGTTCTTCCACTTCTCACTTCTTATCCGGTTGACACACATTTGGTTTCATGCTTCAGGGTCTGGAAAAAGGTAGTTTTAATTAGGACAGGGCTGAACAGTAACGCTTGCCCAGTCACCGCAGGCAAACACATTTGGGTTCCTGTCAACCATTATGTGCTCTCCCATGTTGCCTCTGTTGGCAACCACTTTTCCTTTGCTTGAAATTGCTTATTCTCTATTTGTCTCTTCCCCACTGTGTAAAATTTTACTTCCAGCTGAGTAAGAGCTACTGTTGATTTTACTGTTACTGTTACTGTTGGAAATTGAGTTTGGACTAAATTCAAACGATCAGCATCACAAAATAATACACAGAGTGGTTGTGCTGAAACTGAGACAGCAGAATCTGAATAAAAGACAAGCATAAATGCCAATTAAACTTCTGAGACAAAGTAGTGTGAGACAAACAGGAACTGGCAGTTATATATAATGCTAAAATCTGCCTCTTAAGATTCACCTTGTTTCCTGCATGTTCAGCTCCACATGGGCTCAGATATTTTAGTATTTAGTACATTTTTAAGATAACTGGAGATAACGTCTGAATACATTCTACATTTTCACCCCGTCCCTCACAGGAGATGTGCACTGTCGAGGAGCCGAATGAGGAATTCACCTCCAGACATAGTTTAGAGTGGAAATTTCTCTTCTTGGACCACAGGTACAGTTTTTTTTTCATTTTTTATACAGTGTCTTTGTTCAGATGTGTGTTTTTCATTGTGCAATTTTGTTTGTGTTGTGTTTTTTATTGTTTACCAATGGATCATTTATTAAAGCTGTAGATGGCAACTATTTTAGTGTACTGTTAGGCTGTAAATTGAGAGAGTGCTTCGTTTTGGCTCAACTGTCACCAGCATGGCAGCCAGGTCACAAACTTTCTCATTTTACAGCTAAACACTCACTAAAATATGTTTCTAAGAACATTTGAGGTGAGAAAAAAGCAATGCAGTTAACAGAATCTTGATTCTAATTTGATCAGCGCTGCCTAGTTTGACCACAGTTCACAAACAGTGATTGACAGCTGCGTTACTGTGCGTTCACACCAGAAGCTTCCAAAGAGGCAAAGTCTGTAGCGGACGTCCAAGAAGCATGACTTTGGTCGCTCTAGTAGCTCATCACGTGAATCATTGAACGTTCGATCGTGCTCGTCAATTTAAAGGAGCTGCAAAGCAGACTACTGACTTGAAAGCAGCGTAGTTGCTGCTTGCTGTTGTCCAGTCAAAAAGCTCATAGTTGGCCAACAGAAAGTTATGTTTGGTCAATGAAAACAGAAAACGTATGTCATCCCACTCAAACCAAGCAAGGAAGACTTGCATGCTACGTCGCAACATTAGCTTGCAATTCTCTCCTCTATTACAAACATTACACACTTTAACACTCACCAGACCAACCAACTTCCTCCGCGACACGGTCCCAAGCCTCATTCTTTTTATTTTGGTCTCTGTAACCGAACAGCGACACATTATAAAAGGACTGAGTGGGCGCGAACGAAAGTAATCAACTTCTCGATATCCATCGTCGGAACAAGTGTGCTGTAGGAACCAAAGTTACATGGCTTGTTCTCTGGGACCCGCTTCATCGAAGCACGTCAGCATTCCAGTTGGCTGTTGCTGAACCACATCAGAGCTCATTACCATAAAGTTAAACGAGTTTTAACTCCCCTCCGGACCCACTCTGGTCGCTTTGGTCGCCCAAGACGCACGGCTGACAACCAGGTCGCCCAAGTCGCTTCCACCATTTTGGAAGCTCTGGTCGCTTTTGGTGTGAACATACAGTTAGAGACTCCTCAGCTTTGATTGGTTGATTTCATTCACATGTGGCAGATTCTTGCAAAGCCATTAGAAGCACTATGAGGAGGAACATGTTTTTTCTATCTGTCTCATGTTCTTCTGTGTGAACATAGTGACAGTTTCAGCAAATATAACAAAGGGTTATGGGTGTAAAAGTTACCAACTGTAGCTTTAAGGGTGCTTTTACAACCGCCCTGTTTGGTTCCAATTCAAACTGTGGTGCCGTGGTTTGATTTCTGTCCACTGGACTCGAGCTACACAGACCCACCACAGGACTCTGAAAGACTACATGTGTGACATTAGCAGGAATTCCAAAGCTAATATTAACTGCATCTGCTGATTTTAAAATGTCACAGAAGTCATCTCCCAGTCTTATGAGTGATGTGTAGCCTCTGTGTTGAGCTTGTGTTCTGCGTATTAGTCGAGCAATTCCCCAGTAAAAAGGCACGTTGGTCCTTTTTGTATGTGTTAGTCACTAGTTATGATATATGAGATCCAGTTGCAGTTTTAACTAATAATAATCATTATCAGTTATTAATTTGTGAGCACTTTGTGACTTCAGAGAAGATAAATAAACATATAAAGAGCAGTAAAGTGCAGCATAACCTGCTGTCTGTCAGGCAGATGGCATCACCAAAACTTCCCACTGTCAGTCTGTACAACTTCCTGTTTACTCCTCTTGGTTTGTTGTAATAAACCAGTGTGGACATGAAGCGAATTAGGGCTCAAAGTAACAATATATGTTATTTGTTTCTCAATCTCTACCAAATTATCTAACTACAGGTGTGAAAGCAACCTAACTCTGTCGCACTAACAACAGCAACTTGTCAAGACACACTGCAGGATGGTTGGTAGAAACTTCTTAAAACTTTACATGTTCCATCGGGAATCACAGCTTCAACGTCTGACAGCCTGTTTGTTGAGTTTGACTGGTAAATATAGTTTTGCTGCTGCAGAAGCGGTGAAAAGGTCGTCTATATTAATTAAAGCTTCATTTGTGAAGCATTTTCCCATGATCCCATGAGTGCTGTTATGAAACTCTGCTGTTGTCATGGAAGATCCCAAAGTTGATGAGTCTGAAATGCTATTTATGTCAATATTAAAAAGAATTTATATACATAAATAAATAATTATGCCTACAAATGAAATAGCTATGGCTGTGAAATAAATTCTGAAATAAATAAATAAGGCAATAAATCTATAACTAAATGTACAGATAAATATATAACTAAGTCAATACAGTATATAAAATGAATAAGTTTTTCATGAAGGTAAAATGAGCTGGGGAATAAATGTGGCAACTTGTTTTCAGTTTGTTTTATTGTTTGTAACCGTGTTGTTTGTGCTGCTGCCTGTCTTGGCCAGGACACTCTTAAATAAGAGATTTTTAATTTCCATAAGTCTTTTACCACCGGTTACATAAAGTAAAATTAAAAATTAGGAAATAAATGTCCACCGGAAAAAGTAATCCTTTGACAAATGTTCTTTTTTAAAAATAAAAAACAATTTGTTTATTTATTGAACTATATTGACTCATCTATTTATTTCAGGGTTTATCTCATAGCCGTATTTATTCAATTAATATTGACTCTTAACGCTGTGAGCCCTTTGAGAAAAACCACAGTATGATGACTTATTCACTTTAACAAGTGTAGAAGGTGTGTGGAAGTCTGTTAATGACTCATCTCAATAGTATGTTCTTTGTTTGTCCAGAGCTCCACCCATCATAGGTTACCTCCCGTTTGAGGTCCTGGGTACATCAGGATATGACTACTACCACGTCGATGACCTGGAAACACTGGCCAAATGCCATGAACACTGTGAGTACTGCTTTGTCAGACATCATTCAAGTGACTTCATCTACAATCCTCGGCTTCGTCATCAGTCCGCTCCCTCTCCTTGTGTGTCTGCAGTAATGCAGTATGGCAAAGGAAAGTCCTGCTACTACAGATTCCTCACCAAAGGGCAGCAGTGGATTTGGCTTCAGACCCACTACTACATCACCTACCACCAGTGGAACTCCAGACCAGAGTTTATTGTCTGCACACACACTGTTGTAAGGTACATGAAAGATTTACCCAGAGATATTCACATTGTTAGAGAAGAGTCTCAAGTCATCTTTGTCCTGCATCTGTCACTGAAATCACAATATTATATACTCACAGTCAAGTCAACTTTACTTATATAGCACTTGAAACACAAACAGAGTTGATCATAAGTGCTCTTACAGCAACATAGAGAAAAGCAAAGCAAGAGAAAGAGGAGAAACAGAAGACACTTTGTAGACAAACATCAGAATCTTAAAATGTATTCTGTAGCTAACACACAGCCAGGAGGCAAGAATGGGGGTAATGTGCTCCGTCTTTTTTGACCCTGTTAAAACTCTTGCTGCTGTATTTTTGACCAGTTGAAGACGGGATAAACAAGACTGAGTAACACACTGGGTTTGGAGATAGTGCGCAGCTGCATGATACTTAATTTTACTACTTGATTGATTTGGTAATTCCATACCAATACCAACAAACCAAGGACCTCCCTGTTCATTTTATGGAATTTCCTGAAAAAACTCATGGAAAAACTTTTATTAAAATTTATACTTTTTTTTTTAATTTGGCCCTTTGCACTAAAGTCCATCATGTATTTGCATTCTAAGCTTCATTAATTGCTTACTTTCATTAGATTGGGTTAAAATTTGTACAGGACATCCAAGAAATCTAAAGAATAATTTGAAACTGCATATTTTACAGTAATCAATTTTTTATTTTTTATTTTTTGTTAAAGTCTCCACTAGTTTTCACTTTATAGCGACCAAATTTAGAATCTGTGCAAAATGACTCTGGTTCTATCACATCGTTATTTGATCCTGCATAGAAAATTGAATGCCACAGATCTCGCTAAATAAAGCTTCAGAGCTGAAATAAACAAACAAACAAAAAATCCTTTTAGTTTATTTTGACTGTATACTTTCCCCAGATTGATTATTTTAATTGAAATAATAATGATAATTTGTATTTTTTATGAAAAAGTCTTGATATTCCTTTCAGATATATTTTTTTTTAAAAAATCTGCAAAACATTTAGCAACAACTATTTACATGAATACATGCTGTTACACCTGCAAACGTAATAACGGCCCACAAACGTAATAAACCACAAACGTAATACAAATCTGCAGCTTTGAATGTAATAATCCTGCAAATGTAATAAATTTCCCACCTTTAAGTGTAATGTAAGGTCTCATCCACTTATTATTATTTGAATATGAATTATTTGATAGTTGCCGCAAATAAATGAATGTATGGGTATGCATCAAAACTCTACCAATAAAACCAAAGAAGACGTGCAGGCGATGGTCACTTGATCCATGTTACTATCAAAAAGTACCAGTCTTAAATCTTGAAAAATGTTTTCATTACTTCAAAGAAGAATCTAGAATCTATCAATATGCCAATTTTATTCTTCATCCCAAAGGTTTCACTGTTAAGTCCATTCTCAGGGTATGTGCACTGGAGGCTTCAAGTTTCCACATCACACTTGTGTAAGTTGAAGATTGGACAATGACTGGCTTCTAAAATATTTGTGATGTCACAAATCATGCTTGTAGCCCTTCTAAAGAATGAACGACATATTCAAGTTTTTGGCTTTTGATATGCAGACATATTTTAATTAAATGGTTCAAACACAGGCTACATAAGCCACCAACATAGGCTCGTAGCTCTAGCCCTTAAAATCATATGAGCATTTTTAGCAGATAAATGTGAAAAAAGCCTTCGAGTGTTAAGCTCTGCACATACATCATTCTGCACAGTGAGGCTCAAACATTCATCTGTAGGAACAAGAAGAAAACACATTTTTGAGTGGAGGAGGATTAAGTTATTGTAAACCGTGGTTTTTAAAACCTTACAACCTGCACCTGACCCCCTATGAGAGCCAACCCACCCTGCAGCGCCGCTGTCTGAGGTGCTGAACAGGTACTGTAGGCCAGATGCTGCAGAGAAATCTGTATTAACAAGAGGCAGAATAAAATAAAATAAATACAATTAAATGACATATTTGCTGCCACAGAGTAATTCTGTGAACTGGCAGGGAATGACCAGTGTGTGTGTGTGTGTGTGTGTGTGTGTGTATGTGTGTGTTTCTGTAAGTTATTTCTAACTTACTCAGAACCCTGCTCTGTCACTTTCTGACCCGCCCCACCCGACCTGCGGGTTGTTTGTCAACACACGCATCACTATTGGCAGGTGTATAAGTAAACAAACAAACAACAACAACCACAAAGATCATTATTCAGTCTAATATTACATTTGTGAAAAATTATTACAGTTTAAATTTTCACCTTCCCACATATGTAATAATTTCCTGCAAATGTAATAGGTATTACATTTGCGGAAAATTGTGTGTTACGTTTGTAGTAGGCAGCTGCTGTTACGTTTGTGGGAAATTTATTAAATTTGCAGGATTATTACATTCAAAGCTATTACGTTTGTGGGCTGTTATTACATTTGCGGGTGTAACACATGCTATAACTAGGGTCTCTTGGATATTCACTACAAATTTAACCCAATACAGTGAAAAATCAGCAGTTGGTGAGGTTTAGATAAATCACACGAAGAGCTGCAAAAATGAGCAAACATAGCTCTGTGGGCCAAACATAAAAAAATCATAACTAAAAAAATTTTTGGAGTAGAGCTGCATGATTTTGCAAAATCCCACAAATTTAATAGAAGTTTTTACAAGAAAATTGAATTGAATTTTTTTTTATTAATTTATTTTTTTGAGAATTTAACTGGGTAAAGTTTTAAATACTTGGTGACTTATCGTGGATGATCCGTATATAAGAAGTTTATAAGAAGTTTATTCACTGTCTTTGCTCTACAGTTACGCTGAAGTACGAGCAGAGCAGCGCAGAGAGCTCGGAATTGAAGAATCACAACCTGAGATCACAGCAGACAAGGTGAGATGTCTGTTCGACAGTAGTTAGGCTTTTTAAAATTAATTGTAGGATGATGGATCAGTAATCTGTGATTATACTTTATATGGAGACCCAAAGCTGACCATCTCCCCACCTCACAGCAGTCCCAGGATTCAGGCTCTGAGTCCCAGCTCAACACTTCCAGCCTGAAGGAGGCTCTGGAGCGCTTCAACCACAGCCGGACGCCCTCAGCCTCGTCTCGCAGCTCACGCAAATCCTCACACACCGCCGTGTCTGACCCGGCCTGTAAGTACCCTCAACGATCTCTATGACTGTTACATCTAAGGCAGTCTTCTCTTTTTTTAATCAGAGCCTCATGTTTATATTTCCCTCTTAGCATCACAGATGAAGCTTCAGGGAGACAGGAGTACACCAGGTCGCCAGTCTGTCTCTGTTGTGGAGATGACATCACAACGAAGATCATCTATCAGCAGTCAGGTTGGTGAAGAGACGAGAACAGAGAAAAGAGATTCACAGCGCTTTACTCTGAACTGTTCTTCATTTTTTGGTGTTGTCTGGTGCTAATACTGTTTCTGTCTTAATTCTATCAGCAGTCGATGAGCTCCCAAAATACAGGACAGAACATGGCACCATCCATAGTGTCACAACAACAACAGCAACAACAACAACAACCGCAGTCTCAACAGCAGCAACAAGTTCAGACCAGCAGCCAAGTAAGACATTTATCTTATTTAATTTATATCTAATATTAGGAGCCAGACAGCTTTTCATGCGCCATAAATCTCTCTGTCAGTGACGCCTAATTGGATTCTTTCTTAAATGTAATATAAATATAATTTATGGTGTGTTATGGTTAAAATTGTGTCTTGAGCTCCTCTGATAAATAGGGAGGCGCATTAAAAGGAGGTGAATAGTTAATTACCAATTCTGCTTCTCAGTTCAGACTCTAAAACAGTCAATGTAAAACACAAAATAAGATTACTACAATGAAAAGCCAAAAAGTATGTTAAAATATACTAGAAATGAAGCAAAAAAAACGCAAAAATCGGCAACTACACATGATTGCAAAGACCAGCTAAGATACAACTTGACAGTAGCATGTAGCAGATTGTGTACAAAAATCCTGCAACAGTGTTTTGAAACAGCCAAGAGGAAGCAAGCTGTACAACTTTAAGTCCTTCTGCAGAAGATTCCACATATAAGGAGCTGCAGACATAAATGCTCGCTTGCCAAACTCTGTATGTACCCTCGGTACAGACAATACAGACATGATCTGCGAACAGAGAGCAGAGCCATTTTCATTTTTTTGCTTAACTTTCACACATCAATATGCTGGAAGTAGGCCAAGAATAGCTTTGTAAACAAGAGAATGCCAATGAAATGTCTATGAAATTTTAAAGACAGCCAGCTAACTCGAGCGTACAGGACACAATGATGAGTTAGTGGCTCACAGTTGGTAATAAATCTCAATGCACCATGGTACACAGAGTCCAGAGCATGCAAACACTGGGTGGGTGCACTCATATATAGCACATCCCCATAAACAGTCAAGAATGTGGCAGAGACCAGTCTCTTTTCTCGTTTCTTTTTCTAAAATAAAAACCCAGTTTCAGCTTCAGCTCTTTCACGAGTAGTATGCACATCTGCACGTGTATCGCTGAAGCCCCTAGGAAGTGCGGTGTCGAGTGCAGGTTCTTGAGATCCGGATGTATTTATTAGTAGTGCATTACAAACACTGTGCAGTGTTTTGAGAGGGGACCCCTACCACCGAATGGCTTGCTTTCAGGGATGTAACTGTTAACCACTCTTGGAATGCTTTTGTTCTTGGAAATAGCCTGGTCCCAAATAGGTAGCTGATAGTAAATGATGCGTGTACTCAAATGCAAATATGTCATGGCAGGTGTGTTGCTCATGACGCAAGGAAGAGCCGTGTTGAGTATGAAGCTGTTTGGGTTAGTTGTCTGGAGAAAGGCCAAGCAATCGACCTGTTCCAGGCACATTTTGAACGGGCACTGCACTAGTCATCATTAAGAAGGACTGGTGCTAAAAATATAAAATTCATAAGTATATTTCTGTTGCTCTGGAACTAGCTCATAGTTGCAACTTAAATGTAAAACATAAAAATGAATAAATACTGTGAAGAATTCCCTCTGTCTCCGCTGACCGCGGCTGTCTCGCAGCGCGCTCCTGTTCATTGTGTGCTCTATATAACCTGCCTGTATGTGCAGTGCACGCTGGATACAGCCAGGTAGGAGGAGGAAGCGTCAGAGGGCCGCGATTCTTGTTATTCTATCTCATTGAATCTGCCAAACATATTGACTGACCCAATGAGTGACTGCCCATAAACTGTCAAATCAGTCATCATTCATTCAATCAAATCATAATGCATTTGCCTGTACTGTAACCCCCCGCTTAAATTGTTTTTGATACAAATTCTGAACTTTAAAATCTGGACTGTGCCTGTGTTTATGTGAAGCCAGTGAGCGAGATTCAAGTTACCTAGCCAAAACAAATTGTTTTCAATTACATTTTTAGGCGATTGCAGGAGGAAGAATGATAACGCTTTCTCCTCTGCCTGAGAAGATCACGTGTGCCAAACAATGTTTTGGTGTCCTACACTGATAAAATTTGCTGGATACAGGCAGGCTAACCCCAGATATACCTGGACCACAGATTCAGTTGGATTTTAGTCAGCATTAGACCATGCACACTCCCCTGAATCACTCTTCACAATGAATCACTCTTTGTGCTTCCTCAGCAGCTGCCATTTAACTTACCTGCCATTCCCCCTATGTCATTGTTCTTTTGCCAGTCAATGGTGCAGTTCTCCAGCCAGCTAGAAGCCATGCAGAACCTGAAAGAGCAGCTGGAGCAGAGGACCAGGATGATCGAGGCCAACATTCAGCGGCAGCAGGATGAGCTGCGGCAGATCCAGGACGAGCTGCAGAGAGTGCAGGGACAGAGCTTGCAGGTGAGACTGAAGAGCTGCTCAGGAGTGTGGGGCAAACATGCATTTAATCTATTTATTTATGTACAGTTTGGGTGGATGGTTTTACAGTTATAGAACCTTTGCTGTTTATTTCAGATGTTCGTGCAGAAAGGAGCTGGAGGACTAAATCTGGGGTCTGTTCAGATGGCTCAGGGGAACGCCGTGCAGCAGGGGGGAACACTCAGCATGCAGGGCCAGGTGGTCTCTGCAGGGCCTCTACAGAACAGCATACAGCAACAACATGCTGTCCAGCCCCAGCCCCAGCAACAAACACTCCTAAGGGAACAGAGCACAGCACTCTCACAGGTCTGACAAACTAAACAGTTCTCCTTCTCCCTGTGCTGTTCATTAAACACATCCAACACAACCACATCTCGCCACTTACTCTGGCTCTGTCTATTTCAGTCTCAGCGGTCGTCTCTCACTCTGCAGCCCCAACAAAATCCACTGCCTGCGTCTCTCTACAACACAATGATGATCCCTCAGCAAAGCCCTAATGTGGTCCAGATTGCCACCAGCCTGGCTCAGAACACTGGACCCAACACTCCTGCTGTGGCTACATTTGCACAGGACCGTTCAGCTCAGATTAGGTTTGCATCAAACTACTCTCATTTATCATGTCATAGTTGTATGTTCTGTCTTCACATAAAGTGAATCTGTTATTAAAGAGGTGTCATTATGCTCATTTTTAGGTTCATACTTGTATTTTGGGTTTCTGGTAGAACATGTTAACATTTTTTAATGGTCACAAAAACACTGTTTTCCTCATACTGTCTGTGCTGCAACACCCATATTCACACTCCATTTTAGCATCTGTCTCTTTAAGTCTGCCTTCTGAAAAAGCCCAGTCTGCTCTGATTGATCATTGTTTCCATCTCTGCATCTTTGCCCTGTCATTGCCCCCAGGGAATGACTGTAACAGAAGCACTTTTGACCATTAAAAATCATTAATTAAAGCATCTAAACAAACATGTTCCAGCAGGAATATGATGCGAAATTGGGAAGAAATTAATGACAACAGCAACCAATTTTACATGCTTGCCTGACGTTAGCATGTAGCTACATGTAGCATCGTACCTGCAGTGGGGGAATGGTGGAGTATAGCAGCACTTTCTCCAATTAAAAATCCTCAACAGAAGCTTCTAAACAAAACCGGACATGTTCCAGCAGGAATATGATGCGAAATTGGGAAGAAATTAATGACAACGGCAACCAAGTTTATGTGCTTGCCTGATGTTAGCATGTAGCTACATGTAGCAGCGTACTTGCAGTTGGGGAATGGTGGAGTATAGCAGCACTTTCTACCATTGAAAATCCTCAACAGCTTCTAAACAAAACCGGACATGCTCAAGCAGCAATCAGATCGAAAATTGCGGTGAAATTAAAAACACTGGCAACAAAATTTACGTGTTTCCCTGATATTTGCATGTAGCTACATGTAGCAGTGTACTTGCAGTAGAGGAAATGACTGCGACACTTTGTATGATGAAAAATCACCATTAAAAGCTTCTAAACCAAAGTCTTTACAGATGGACATGATCCAGGAGGAAACTGATCCAAAATCGGGGAGAAATTAACAACATCAGCAACCAAGATTACATGTTTCCCTAATGTTATGAATGATTCAGTGACCTCTACCTGACCTTTGCCCACTTCCTGTTGCTCACAGGTTTCCTGCCAGTCCTCAACTGCTCACCAAGCTAGTGACAGGTCAGATGGCATGTGGGGCAGTCATGGTCCCCACAACCATGTTTATGGGCCAAGTGGTGACGGCCTTTGCTCCCCAGCAGGGCCAGACCCAGACCATCAGCATTTCCCAGCAGCCACCACAGCAGCAGCAGGAGCAGCAGGTACAGCAGCAGTCACAGGTCACAGCCATGCAGCCAGGGCAGGCTCCACTGGCCCAGCAGCAAACACAGTTCCTACAGGTAACACTCAGGGGGAAATGAACATTTAGGTAACTTTGCACTTTAGGCCCGGATCACACAGAAAGCGCACAGCTCTGCCTTTTTTCTTTTTTTAAATCTGAATGCCACTGATAAAAAAAACAACAAAAAATGCTTGCTGCACGTTTTTCAACTTGAGGAGTTCAGAGTGCTCAGGCAAAAACGCCAGGCTGCCAGAGCACAGAAATGAGAGGTGCGTCGCAAAACAAAAACTGCGAGCAAAAGCTTCATTTTAGTTAAAAACAATTACAAAAAGCTGCCTCCAACTGCTAAAACGCTTTCTGTGTGATCAGACCCTTAGTGGTGCTAAGTGACAGCCACTGTGTATTCTGTAGTTGTGAGCTCAGTATGTGTAGCTTCCTGTTACAATGACCATTTAAATGGCTTTGTATAGGGGTGTAACGGTACACAAAAATCTCGGTTCGGTATGTACCTCGGTACACAAGTCACGGTTCATTTTTTTCGGTACAGTAATGAAAAAAATAGACAACTATTAAATATCTTTTACTTATTGGTAACCTTATTAAAACATACCACCACAGCAGTTAACTCTTTTTACACAATTTTTGAATGAAACAAATATATATAAAATCCTGCTTTTTCACAGTTTGAATGAAAATAGAAATATAAAAGTGAAAAATAAAATCCTGCTGTTTTTTTAACACATTTTTTGAATGAAAAATATAAATATACATTTCTGCTTTAACAGTTTAACTCAATTAAAATAAAAAGTATAGTGCAGCTGGTCAGCTTTAAAGCCTGCTCAGATTCAGTTTTACTAGGAACTTACTTAGCTTTCCCACTTTGTTAAAGTGCAGTAAACAAAACATGCTTATATCTAAAGTGCAGCTTAAACAATTTTACTCAACTCCAATGGCGTTGGTTATTTCTTTAGCGCGATCAGAATGGTCAGGGAAACGCTCTTTCTTTTTAAACGACGACGATATCGTAGTTTATACCAGATTGCTTTTTCTAGTCGTGCCGGTTAACGTTCAAACTCGGGTGGTGTCGCTTTAGATGCGTTAGCATGTTAGACGTGTTTCCAAGTACATACCCGACCGCTGTTCTGCAGTGTCGGCACACTGCTTTTGTCTTGTCCACTTGTTTATTTCCATCTTCGTATTTTACCCTGAAACCAAAGTGTTCCCAAACGGAGGACTTTCGTCAGGCTCACTTGCCATGTTGTCAAAATGCGAGAATGCGCTGCACAAACTGAAAGCGGAGATTTACGGTCGGACTCGGTCCGTCACTCAATTATGTCCGTCGGAAAACTAGATATTTTAAATGGTTCAGCTCGCAAAAACGGAATTAAAATAAAACAAAATAAAATAAAATAATATCCTGCGCCCAATAATTCGGTGCAGGGTCGTGCCGAACCGAAAGTCGCGTACCGAACGGTTCGACACAAATACATGTACCGTTACGGTCCTAGCTTTGTAAGTTTCCCTGTATCTATGCATGTTCTCATAGAACGACACACTAACATCAGACTTATGACTTATGCTGAATTCTAAACATTTTATTCTTTAAGATCTTGTGATGCTCATTAGACTGACTATTCCACTTCAAGATACAGTGTGGAACATTCAAGTCTGTTTAAGAGCTGAAACAATTAGCCAGTTGACAGAAAAATATTGCCAACTATTTGCATAATTGATTAATTGTTTAAGTCTTATTTAAACAAAGACAGTAAGACAGTACGGCATTTTCTCAGGTCCAAGCTTCTATTCTCTGAGGTCTGCGTCTCTTTTGTCATATATCAGAGTTAACTGAATATCTGTGGTTTGAACAAAACAAGACATTTCATGACCTCACTTTGAACTCTGGGAAGTTGCAATGGTTGGCTTTTACTTTCACGGCCAAGTGTGTTTACAGAGTATACCTTTAAGTTAAATCCTGACTTATTGTTAATGACTCAGTAGGTAAATTTCCTTTCTAAGATCGGGCTAATCATTTGTTTTTGCTCAAGGCTCCTCGGCTTCTTCATGGAAACCAGTCCACCCAGTTGATTCTGCAGGCAGCGTTCCCTTTGCAGCAGCAGGGTACCTTCACTGCCGCAACACAACAGCAGCAGCAACAGTTACAACAGCAACAACAGTTGCAACAACAACAGCAGCAGAAGCAGCTACAACAACAAAAACAGCAACTTCAACAACAGCAGCAACAGCAGCTGGCCCCTCACAGGGCAGACAGTTTGTCTGATCGCTCTGCTACGCAGCCACAGTAGCTGGCTACAGCCAATCAGAGGTGGAGTGAGCCAAACCCAAGTGTGGGTGTCTTTGTGACGGGGGTCTAAAGAGGAGTTCTTCTCAAAGTACAGCGCTGAGACCATGCCTCAGAGGCTGACGTGATTGGATGGGCAGGCTGTGGCTTCCCTCCCCTCACAAGGATCTTTTGCTGTTTGCACTTAACTCCTGAGCACAGAGTGCTGCAGAGAACCAGGACTGGTCTCGCTGTTGCTCTGGCAGTGGGCTTTGGCTCTGGGACGAAGCCCTTTCTCCAAGAAAAGGGGGAGCAACAATCCCTATAATGGACTCCCCCTCACACCCTCCCCTGGCCCTTTCCTTGTGTGTTCAGTGTGTGCGCGCATGTGTGTGTGTGTGCTCCAGTCACCCTCACAGGATTATTTTATGCAGAGCTCTCCGGTTAATTAAGTTAACGCAGCGAAGCTTCTATCAAGCTTCAAGGACATCCTGCAGAACAGCCAGAGGCTTGTTTGCTTTGGATGTTTTCTCCTATTCTTGTTTTTCGTGTAAAAATAATTATGGGTCAGAAAATATTTTTAAGAATGTGGTGTAGATTGAACTTTTACTGTACAGAACATCATGTATAATATATTATGTAAATACGATGAAAAAGAAAGAACTAATATTTTATATGATGATGCATGAAATGAAATGCGTAGTCTGTTATTTGCAGCTTTGAATATGCTTTTTTTCTTAAGAAGAAAAGATCTTAAAATGCTTAGTGGCTGATATTTTCACAGACTTCCTTTCTCCTAGGGGATGTGTTTGTGTGTCTGCATAGCAGACAGTGCCGATGCTGCTTGTTGTGTCACAGTTTGTTTAATCCTTGACTCATATTTTCACAGAATTTCATAAAATTGTCAAAATGATAGAGAAATGTTTTAAAGTGTTTTTAAGCTTTTTAAAATGTGCTTTACTGTAAGTCTGCACACTAAAGACTAAATTGAACTTGAGTCAAATATTGTGAATGAACTTAAGATGACCACAATCAAGCTAAACTTATGCAACAATAAGATTTGCCAACATAATCCTTCATATTCTTCATTTTTAGCACTTCTGCTGAAATTCCTTCATGTCAGAGGCATCCATACTGACTGTGTGGTTCCTGAAGTGGCTTCATTCATCCTATAGATATTTATTATCTCTTAAAAGTCTAAAATCAGGCATACAAACTTGTGGCTAATATTCTCAGGCTGAGCGTGAGTGAAATGATTTGTGTTAGTGTGGGGCTAATCAAACAATGTCCTCATTGGCAGTCTGATCATTCACCCAGTCTTCAGCCACTTATCTGGGTCATCAGGGTACAGAGAGCAGCCCAGACGTGCTCCTCCCAGGCGTCCTCCTCCTCCTCCTCCTCCTCCAGTTCTTTCTGGGGGACTTCCAGTCAGTCCTATGTGAGCTGCAGGAGTCCCAAGCCATCTTAAGTAGCTCTCGATAAAGCAGTGGCTCGACACAGAGGTCCCCTCATATCTCTGAACTCTTTGCACTATCTGGAGGAAAAAGGGCAGTCACCCCGCAGAGACCTCATTTAGGCTCCTTAAATCTGCAACCTTCTTCTTAAAGCTACAAACCAGTGTTTGGTGGTTTGAAGTTTGTCTTATGAGAACTTTGCTTCTGGTTCTCCTTCATGCTTTGATAAAGCACATTCAACTACAGCTGATTAAACTTCCTGCAGTTCTCTGCATGTTCACTCACCCTCACTTAAACCTGCCAGAACTTTTTTTGGCCACATGGTGGCAGCAGTGGAAACCAGCTGTGAATCCTACGTTAGTCTGACTCACAGGGTGTAAACCGTGGGTATAAAGTCTGTCATGGGCCTATTTCAGATGTTTGCTGCGTGTTACTGTTTTTAAAATCCCCATGGCTACATGAAGCTAGTCTTGCATAGCCAGACCTATCTCCAAACTTCATTTAAGCCCTAAGCGTCAAACAACAACAACGTACATGCTAAACAAGATTTCTGTTGCTGGGATTTAGCCACTTAAATACCAGTGCTCACCCTTTTCATCAAAACTAGTTCCCTCTCTATAATATTTTGCAGTAGCAGTGATGCTGCATCCTCAGTTTAGCGTCGCTTAAGATGATTGTGATTGGTTTAAAGAAATACAAACAACCCAGAGCGTTTTTTTCCCTTCATACCACTTTTTCCACTGACACAGAACGGGCTCTGTTCTGGTTTGTCCACCTAATCTTGAACTGTTTAAAGCATTATGACCAGATTTACCTTGACCTGAAGTGCAAACTGCGTGTCATATTCCACAGTTGGATGTGCTCTCTTCAAACATATTCTACAGAGAGGATAGTCTGAGGGGGCGGAAGTTCGCTGCATAGATCAGCCTCTCATTGGGCGGAACGAGCCACCCGCTGAAGTCCCGCCCTACCACCTCCGGTTGTGTAGCAGTTTTCAACCGTTTTCAACACGTACTTCACTAACTTTTGCGGTGTTTGATGTTGCGGGGATGTAGCCATTTTTCTGCCATGGTTTGCGTCCTGTAGGCGATATTTTTGTGGGCGTGTTACACCAAAACCTGTTTCCCCCCGGCAATATTTTTGCAAGCGCACTGTTGCTGTGGCACCGCCAAGAACGAATGTGATTGGTTGAAAGAAATACAAGCAGCCGGGGCGTTTTTTTCTCCAATCTTAAAGTGAGTCGGCCCAGCCAGACCTTTCTTTTCTTGAGAAAGGTCTGGTGAGCGAGACTACAGAGACGATGGAGTCTTGCACATAGTAATCCTTTAAGTTTTCTTATGATAAGTAGTTGGTCTGTGGTTTTATGGACAAAAACAAATAACTATCAAGTAACAGCTCACAGTTGGTCCATGAGATCTGCGTTCTTGCTAGTACATTTACTTCTGTTGTGCATTGTGCAGTGCCCTCCATTGATGACGCATTCTTGATTACAATGGCTCTGCTCCAAACTGGTGGCAACCTGGGCTGGTTCGCTAGATAGCGCCAAAATACCTAGCCTGGCGTTGCCAGACCCAATTTGCAAAACATGGAGCAAAATCAAATATGAGCTCGCGAGATCAGGATGGTTTCACCAGGCTACAAGATTCCAAGAATCCTTAGCGAACCAGTTCAAGAACCAGAACTAATTTGGTGGAGAGGGGTATAGCATGTTAGGGGTTCAACCAGACGAGACTGACCTGGCTATGCGAGACTAACCCAATATTATCACCTATTAAGTTCTTATAGGGAACGTTTTTGCGAGGAGTTGCCTGTTTACATGTCCAGCAGATACAGAGCAGCATTATTATTCACTTGGAGTCAAGTCCAATATTCTCTCCTTTTTATTTTTTAATAAGTTGCAAAAGCAATCAGAACAGGCACTGTTGTCAAACTCATTACAATCCCAGACCTCCTGCACATTCTGGGTTAGCAGGCTCGCCTGGCAGCCTCCTCGCCATCTGATCGAATTCACCGTCAGATGGTGTCGGGCTGACGGCTCAGCCCATTGTTCATCTGTGTGCAGTGACGGGCTGAGCTCAACACATGGCCACTGGTCTGGTGAAATACATCAGTCAGTCTTTGATTGGCCGAGTTCTGTGGTGAAGCGGCGCACACTCACAACGTGCATCTTGTAATGTTTGAATATAGTGTTGATAACGGGGAAACCAGAAGTCCAGTAACTTGAGTTTATCACATGTAACAGCTGCTGTTTCTGCTGTGGAGTGCCCGGAGGCTCGGCTCAGTTTGTGTGTTTGAACATGTGGAAAATTGGTTCTGATAAGATATTTCAACTCTCATTGCTGCCCTGACATTATGATGCTTCAGTCGAACTCCAAAGTCTTCATCTGTGTCAAATGTTTAGTGAGCTGGACTGTCACTTTGTTAGCAGATTGTTGCTCCCGTTGTCTGTTTAGAGTTGTAATCAGTCATTTCAGAGTGCGTTTGGCTTCCATCATATTTATATAATTGGTCTTTGTTTTTTTAAGTGGTTGTCATGTTGTCTTTGCTGGTTGAAGTTGTAATTTCATATCTGATTATTTTATAATACAGGCCCATGTGGAGCTGTTGTCAGACACCATAGTCGGGCACATGCTATATCCAGTGTCAGTGTTGTATTGTGTTGCAAGTATGGCCACTGAATTCATCCATTCACTCACTTATTTATTTCTCAAATTGCAGTTAGGACATCAAAGGGACTGTACAAAAATTATTGTGATGGGGAGGGGGGCTGAAAAAGCAAGATCCCCTCAAAAGGTCTTGGTTTAGACCCCCCCTTGACTTCGAATGAAACAGAAGGCCTTCTCCTGAATGTCTCATCTCAGTTCTATTCAAGCTTAAAATGATAATAGGATAATATTTTTTTACGTAGCCCTACACACAATAGGAGTTAATTTAGAGTGTGGTGATCCTAACCCAGGGGGAGGCAACCTGTGGCTCTTTAGCCCCTCTCCGATGTCTCCCTGTGGCTTTGACAACATTAGGCTACATTGAAATGAATCACCGTTATTTTGAACATTTTAATTTTCATTTATCAAGTTTATCCAGTTGGAAAAATGTGTAACCTATAGGCCTGCAACAAATTTAAAAAACATTTTAACATTTTGTCAACTAAAATGCGAGTCATACCGGAGCCCGCGGCCCGGCGCCTTTTCTTTAAATTTTGCTGAACATCAAGAGCGGTGGCTTGTCTTGAGTCTCCTTAGTGAAGCTAGCTGCAGATTCCAAAATCCAGGAAGGGAAAAGTCTTTGAGGAAAATATTGAATTTAATAGTGCATAGACAGATTTGTTTTCACTGCACGGTACCAAATATTCATAAATATTTATGGTCAAACATATTAATGATTAGACCTATTAGTAATGTTGATAAGCTAATTTCGACTTAATAAGGCTGTGTTATCTTTATTATAAGGCTCAAATATAAGACAGATTTAATATTTTTTTTGTTTTTGGACCAAAAGGGCTCTTCTGGTAGTAAAAGTTACTGACCCCTGTCCTAATCAAGCAGCGCCTTGAATTTATGAGTGGTCCAGCTTGTGCCAGAGTGCACTCTGGTGCTCAGAGTGTCTATTTACAAAAGCGCCCCATGTCAGAAATGTCTATATAGGCCTTAGTTGACTTGTAAAAAATGTTTTATTTTTATTTTTTTATTTTTTTAACAGTAGAAATTCTGGTTTTTAATCAGGCTTGGGCCTAAAGGTGCTGCTGTTGTTCAGGCTTGGACAGAAACCGTACAGGTTCATGAAGGGTCAGGCCTGATTATATCAAAAGGCGTGTTTTTGACTTTAATATTTTGATGTATTTATTATTTTTATACAAAATCCTGCAAGAAAATTATGAAGTAAAAAAGAAAATCCGGGCCAGGACCCTGCCTTTAACAAAAAATAAATAATCCATCACCCTCCCTCCTCTCTAATAATTTTCATACAGTCCCTAAATACCTGCTTTCTCCACTGTGCCATTTCTGTGCTTCTAGAAAGACTGAATTGAGCATATAGGTAGACGTCACAGTCCGGTCCCTTACACAGCACTCCTCTCCTCTTACAAAATCAGTTGTGGTGCTGCAACATATGAATATTTAAATAAGACACACACCAGTTCTCTGTTAAACACTTAGAGCCCTGTAGAGAGGACCTGCTCCTCCTGGAGTGTGATGCAAGTGGTGCAATATACATACGACAAGAATGTAACTATCATTAACACGAGTATTTTTGCATGAGACGTGTGGCTGTGAGAGACTTTGCACAATGTATGATAGGACATGCAGTAAATAGAACTGCAGAGAACTCAATTATTTTTCTATTACCGGAATAAACCTCATTGAGCTGGCAGAGATACATGACATCACACACAGTCAACGCTGCTGCTTTTAAACATGAAGGATCTAAACGAACTGTGACATACACACAAAGACTGTTGAACTTCTTCCC